TGCCTTGAGCCCAAACCACTGCAATAAGACAAAGAGTAAACCCAAGCCACCAAAGACAAGGTCCAAATACCAACATACATCCTACCTTTTTTACAGACTCACACACTATAATAGATCAGTGAGCAAAATGTGGCAGAGATTCTTGAAAATGCTGCAGGGCACTGTGCCAGTCAGTACAAGACTTTGATTCAAATACTGACTGAGCCCAAAACAATTGTTGAAGTTGGCCAAGCACCACACCTCAAACAGCAAACGCAATCCTCTCTGAACCAATACCCACACTTTGAACCCTTCTCTTACTGTAGTTGTAGACTTAAATGAAGGTGTTTGCACTCTTGCCACCGGTCAGTCTCTCAGACCTGTGCCTTATGAGGCTGCTGCGCAACCTCAGCATGACTTCAACTTTCAATGAACCTTCAGTCACTAGCGCAGTAGGACACCTCATTCATTGTTGCGCAATGAGAACAAAAAACATTGCTATTTTTGCACTGCAGGCACATTGCAGTGCAGGCCAGAGTCACAGCAGTCAAACTCAGGGCGAACAATCAAATCAAGCATTGAGATGACTTCAACAAAGTGTATTTGTTTTTACCTTGTTGATATTCATCACATCCCGAGTCTGACATACTCATACATTCAGAACCCCGTGTGAAAAGCCTTGTACTGTGCCCTTACTTCTCAGTCAACGAAGGATCATTTTGGCACGAAGCCCTTCAACATTAGGGCCCGTCGACAAGGCCCAGTATTCGGCCTTCTCATAGTAGTCGGCGGAAGTAGCTTCATAGTCCCAGAAATGGTCCTCAGACCCAGGATGATGTAAATTTGCTAACTTACTCACGTGTCACACCTATGCAATTTCATGTCAAAGGCACTACATGTTCTTCTTGAAGACTGGCTAATGACATTAAAGCCAAGCTTCCAAAAATGGATTGTTCTCATCATGCATAGGAGCCACATTCTTGATACAGTACGGAATGTATAACTTCTCGGGGTGCGGCCGTTCTGAGGTCATAGGAAGCTGCCCCCCCTGTACTTCAGCTTCATGACATTCCCCAGCTAGGGTTCGGGGATGGTCACCAACACGATACTTCGAAAACTCCCCCCTTCCCTTGTTGGCCACTTGCTGGCGCAGCCAGGTACCAATTTCAATAGTGTCATCCGGACACCAGTGGTAAAATCTCTCTCCATGTTGAAATGAGATTGATCATCATCCCATTTGCCACCACCTTTGGATTTCCCACCCTTACCGTAATTACCGCTCTTGCTACCCTTGCCCTTGCCGCTGCTCATGGTCGACTCAGTACGAGGGCGCTTCAGCGCGCCAGGGCGAGATGATATCATATAACTGGCACAGTGACCTCCAACAGTGGCACAGTGCCCTCCAGCAGTCAATCAGAAAGGTTCAATCTGTACTTCAAAACTTTTGAGCGCTCCTTCCTCATGATTTTCGGGCAGGGTTGGGTCGTATGACCCCTTCTTGGCTCGGCTGTACGCCTTGGCGTCGCGGCTTCATGGTGGCACCTTCGAAGTTGGCCATGAGGTTCTTCGTTGAGATGGTGGCCACTCGTCCCATGAAGGAGCTTTCTACGTCGCCGGCAGTCCTTGGTGAAGTTTTCAGAGTAGACGCCATGGCGGACAAAGGCTCTGCAATATAGGCGCGCGGGAGACTTTTGGCGGAGCTGATTCAAAGAGCGAGGTGGTTTCTTTTGCTTGTAGATAGATAGAATGCCCCTCTTCTCTTTGTCAAAGGCGAGCCCTTCAAGACCATCGCCAGCTCTGAGCTTTTGGCAGTGACTGTGGCTTTGATGGTTTTCGGCCCAGGAGGACTGGGGTTGGTTGTTTGGCCCGGGCATGGCGGACAATTTGTCAAACTCCTACCTGTTGACCAAGTTCCCTGTCTCGTTGGTCTTAATGGCCAAACAGCTTGGACTCTACAACCGCGACCTTGACCTGGTTTGATTCCTCGTGAACAAAATGAGCCGTCGGATGATTTGAGCAAAGGTCACTAAGATCGGCTAGAAGAGAATGGAGACCAAGTTTGAAGATCTCGACTTCCTGATCCTGATGAAAACGTTTGAGGCGGCCACGAGCTTGGATCAAGAGATTGTGGAGAAGAGGGCATCGAAGGTCGTGCGTAGTTGAAGGTTATGTAGGCTCGTTCGACCATGGTGAGCTGAAGTGGGCAAAGCGCCTGTGGCTTCACTCGCTCCAAAAGTCCGCGAAGAGAGGACGCATGTAGACGTAATAAGCGAGCGGCGTCGCAATGTGTCAGCGAACGCAGCTGGGCTCGAAAAGAGTCCCACCCGACAGGGCAAAGCGCCTTGCTCCAAAAGTCCGCGAAGAGAGGACACATTTCGGTCTTCGAAAATCAGGTTGGAACTTGCCAAAGTGTGTAACAGTCGTCGAAATATTGCTGTGGGAATGCGGCCAAAATGCGCAGTCGTCTCGTGGTGGAAGTGGCCAAAGTATTTTGCAACGCTCGTCGCAAATCGCGCTGGAAGCTGCCAAAGCGTACAACTATCGGCGAAAATGAAGGTGGAGGCCGCCAAAGTGCACAATCGTCGCCGGCTGCGGTCAGAAATTTGGTGCAGGAATCAGCCCGGAGGTCACCGGCTGTGGTACAAAGCGGGCTTCTGGGAGTTACCTGTTACCTTCAGAACTGGGACTTTGTAGTGCAGATGTAGCGCGGGAAGCATCTTGTCAAAAATGTCGATGTAGTGCGGGAAGGCTGTTTTGTAACGTAAAGTTAGCGTGTAGGGGGTGCTGTGACCTCTACTTCCTGGCCTGCCAACTTTGGCGCCAATTGTCGTGCGGGGCACAGCTTCTGGGAGCTTGGCGTTGTGTCTCTGCGCCGCGCCTCGCGTGGCCCGCTGTGGCAAAATTACGTTTGTGATGTTGCTGCGCCACGTGGTTTTGCGCGGCCTCAGTGGAAGGTGTTTTTGCGTGGCTCCGCGCCGTCAACGAAGAGCACGCGTGCGTAAACACGGCGTGTCGCTGGGGAGCAGGATGATTGGCGGTGTCCACGAGGCTTGGTGTTATGTTGTTGCGATCTGGGGCGAAATTACGATTTTGCGCATTGGTGGAAAGTGTGTTTGCGTGGCGCAGTGCCAATTGTGCGTGCGTATAGACGCGGCGTGTCGCTGGGGAGCGGGTTGTTGTATCTAATCTAGTCTGTGGCACACCGTGCGGCCCACGGTGAAAGTATTTGTGACGTTGCTTTGCGACTTGGTTTCGCGCAGCCTCGGTGGAAAGTGTGTTTGCGTGGCTCCGTGCGGTTTTCTGCGGCCTTGGTCTTGGTGAAAAGCGCAACATCGCCCCATGCCATTGCAGAGCGGGAGAGATGCGGGCATGAGTGCTTATAAGAGTCCTCAAACGGAGGCGTTCAGCGGTCTTTTGGAAAGATTCCAATGTAAGCAAGAAATGCCAACTCGTCATATATGATGCTGTCATTAAAACCAAGCTGCTGTATAATCTGGAGACTGTGTTCCTCACTCAAGCCTTACGCAAGAAAATGGAGGCTTTCCAACCACGTGGGTTGAGGCAAATTCTATACCCACAACCTACATTGACCGACGGTGGACGAACGACAGGGTGCTCGAACTTGCTTCAAGAACAGCATATCCGCGTGATCCTAATAGTAGAATTAGACCTGTTACGATTGATTTGGATCAGAAGCGAGTTCGTTTGGCTGGACATATATTGCGGGCCCCTAATCACGACCCCCTTAGACAAGTATCCTATCAACAAAACAGCGCCGAGCTCAAACATATAGGGCAACGTAGAGTTGGAAGACCGCGTCAGCATTGGGTGTTTAAGTCTAACGAAGACATTCATGCGCTGCATAGTCATACTCAATATGATGGAGATCATTTTCAGAATGACGCAATTTTGAGGGCGGCGCAAAATCGAGCAATATAATCCAAAAACCAAGCGCCCAAGCATCCTTCTCGATGCTGAGACTCAGTATTGGATGCAAGGCAAAAAAAATGTCCTCAAACGAATGTCGTGCTGGTACAAGAGTGTCCCAGAACGCCCTACAGCGGCCCACGACAAGAGTGTCCTCACAACTGTTTGACAAGCAAGAGTGTCTTACAAATTGTAACATATTGTAACGCAAGTGAGTCTTACAACAGTATCCCACAAGGGTGTCCTGCAAGCGTGTCCCACAACACTGTCCCTGCAAGAGTGTTGTGCATGAACCCACCACAGGCCCCACAAATCTTGAGATTATCACATCTACTTTGTCTTGGAATCAGCACCGTTGTGATCGTCAGCAATATTATCACCATTATCATCATGGCCGTCATCATCATCGTCACCATCATCATCGATACCTTGTGTCATCTCCTACTGTGTTTTCGGGCCACCTGGTCGTTTACAGTAGAAGTATGCAGGAATAAATTGGGTGTCAGGTTGCTTCGGCGCGCCTCCTTAATTTACACAACCTTTCGAAAGCGAGGATGTGCGTGTGAGATGCACATCGTGAGCGATTGGTGCGGGACATCTTTCGCAGGCTGTAGAAATGTCTCGCCGTCCCATTGTGTTGTTACCAGGCAGTACCTGTAGCCGACTTCAGCTGTTCCTTGAATCATTAGCCTGCAATGGATGGAATATGCAATCCTTTTCTCTCGGGGATCTCAGCGTTCCATGGCGTTCCGTCTTGCGAAATTTTGTCGCACGTCCCATTTTGTCGGCCTCTTTGCACGTAAAGGGATATTACTGGAATGGATTTAGGCCGACAGGATCGCCTCCAAGTCATCCCTGGGTGTATTTTCTAATTTTATATTTTTCATATTAACTTTCAGCATCATCGTGTCCAATACGAGTCGCTGGAAGAATGTTTGAAGGCGTTGAAGAACCTACGCCCTTCTGCGTTTTTGCTACTAGCTTCCTCTCTACCAGGTGACTCTAATAGTTACTGTGGCTGACCGTCATCTCCCCTCCACCGCACTGCCCGAAAAGAAATAACATGGGTGGGACGCAGGCACGGCATGACAAAGCAGCAATATAACCCCTTTGACAGGTTGTTGGCAGTTTGTCAAGAGACTTCAAATTCCCAAAACTTGAGCCGCCGAACCAAGTTCGTAGTTGCCAGGCTCGGCATGGCGAAGTTCGCACACCACAGGAGACCCAGAAAAGGCTGCTTCAGGCGCTCAACGTGTTCATTTTAAAATGTTTTCTTGACAGTGTGTGTGCTTTTGTTGAAAAGTGGCAACCCCGGTGTGGTCTTGCACAAGTGGCTCAAGCAATCGGGCCAGGTGATCTCTATTTCAGCCATTGGCATTGGCTGTTTGTGCATTTTCCTTGGGCACCGATTGCGGGACTCTGCAACATACTAACTGATGTCCCAAGTTTGGCAACGCCTTGGAGTCGAAGACTCGCTCGGCCTCTTAAAGTGAACTTGGTCTTGCACCTTTAGAACTGGGTGCTGCGACAGCCGCTGGACAAAAAGATTCAAAAGCTGTCGCTTTTGCAACTTTGGAATGAAACCACATCTTTGCTTTTCGACTGCGCGTGCACTTTCTCCGCTATACCAGTGCAGAAGGGCGTCGCAAAAAGGTCAAGCAAATTCAATTTGAGGTAAATTTGACCTGTTTAAGGCAAGCGTACTCAGCGTGTGCAAGCTCTGAGACTTTCTCCTTCAAACTTGCAGTCGCCGACAATTGTGAATTGTAACATCGAGATAGAGCGATGCATAGATTCGACGTGTTAACGTGTTGTTCCGATGTGGCACGACTCTAAGATCAACGGTTGCCCTCAAGCAGAGCTCCACACTTCGGAACTTGCTAATTAGCTGCAGGTCCTGGGTTCCATAAATTGTTTTCCTCATCCTAGAGTTGTCAAGAAATCATTGCCACCAAATCCTGAACACATGGGCCTTTTGGGCCTTTTGTGCTTAGCTAGCTAGTACAGCAACCGCCAGAACAATCGGTGCAGACTGCATTGTGTCTACTTTCAAGTCACCACTGATCACGACAGACACTTCACGACACTCATCCGACATCAGCCTCAGTCCCCGAAGCCAATCTAGTTGCATGTTTAGCTTGGTATAGGTGCAGAATGTGGAACAATGTAGACAGAGTAGGAACAAGGAACAAGTGTGAGTCAAGCCTTTGTTTAGTTCGTTTTTATGCACTGGACCCCAGGTTTTGACCTCTTGCAAGCGCAAGCAAATGCTGGACAAGATAAGCACAAGGCAACCGACTTTCCCTTTGGTTCGCGACTAAGAATCCACGAAGGCAAAACACGGAAAACAGCAATGATTCTGATTCAGCAATATAACAAAGTGTTGCTTTCTGCAGTCCACAGTTCACCGAGCGCATGCTTAAAGCATCTATCAACTAGAGTGGATCACATGCTTGCCGAAAGCGTTGGTTTTATGCTGACCAAAGCTACCGTTCGCACATTCAACAGTTCTTTTGGGATCTTCATGTCCCCTTGTGCGTTCAATTTGCTGTTGACGGAGGTGACATGGTCACGCAGTGCAACCGCGTGCCCTCCTTTTGCTTTGTTGGGCTTCGTGCTTTGTGATTCCGGCGGGTTCGCCCCACATAAGCCAAAACCTCCTGGGAAAACTGCAGCTGCGGCTGCACCTGGATTTGCAGCCTGAGACAAAGCCACTGGTCGTTGTGTTGACTCAAGCATGGATGCTGCGCATTCTCGACCCCCACGGCCAAGATACGGCACATCGATGACGAAAGAGTCCACCTTCAACAGTTGTACACGTGTATATAGAATTATGCGTGTATATATATATATATACAATATATATAATATGTTTGCTGCCGGCAGTGCACAAGATGCAAAGCCGACGCGTTCCAACTCTCAGCCTTGTTCTTGAGGTCCGATATTGCTGTTTGTTGTTTGGGACTCACTTCTACGCTGATCACTGCTCACCAATCGAACCTTTCCAGGTTGGTCCGATGGTCAGTGGAGGGTGGCCGAGCGTTTGCCATGGCCAATCGGTGCCTTAGTTTCTTGCAGCATTCTTCCACTCACCAACTGCCATCCGCTCCTTTGCTTCAAGCTTACTAGCAAGGTGGTGGGTGGTTGCTCCAGTGATTTATATAAGGAGATTGGCCTGAAAGGTTTCCCACGAGAAATGCTGCGGCAGAGCTCTTTGCGACCTCGCAAAAAGCTGGCAGCCAGCCAGCTTGAGGTGCAGGTGAGAAGGTGAGACTTGGCAGCGCAGGTGCTTGTGAGAGACTGGACGTCCACCTGGCAAAATAGAGTATAGAACAGATCACAGACCCCGTTCTGAAAGCCCACCATCCGAACAAAGTGTATCAAGGGGGCGCCCCAAGAAACCATAAGAAACTTGATCAACGACCTGCCTCCACACTAACCAACTCTTCCGCCTCAACACGAGATAGCGTCAAAGCAACCAAGCACTTGTTCGACAAAGTGGAAACAGGCCTCATCTCAACTGGCATCGCATTCTATGTCGCGGAGTTCTTGAACACAAAGTCTTGAAACAAGCAGAGGAATCTCCAAACACTGCGGTAGAGGCAGTAGACGAGGCTGACCCTGACGTGCTGGCTGCCCCTATCCCTCCGCTGCATTCGACCGCATCACGCTCAGACAGGTGGACAGGCCGTGACTGTCGGTCACTCCTCCCCATCCTCCCCGCTTGCCTGTTTTGTGGGCGGAATTCCGGACGTCAAACGATAGCCACCTGCTTGGAAGACACGCGCTCAGGACGTAAGCTGAAACAAGCTGGGCTGACAGCGGAATCATACAGAATGGCCAGGCCAGCGCTGTGGTCTTTGCCAGGCTACGGGCGTGGGTGAACCGTGCTTCCTGGTATGGCCAATTTCCAAGGACTTTGGCTTCTCGCCGGCCGGAGTCGAGGAAGACCTTCCATTGTTTGGTCCGCCAGCTCTCTCGACAAAGGTGGGCGATGTTCTTGGCGTGGGGTTTGGTCCAAGTATGGCTTGGCTGGAATGCTGTTTGGATGTGCTTGTCCAAGATAGGATGGCGCCAGCCTTGTTCAGAGATGTGCCATCCCATATGAGTGAGCCAGCTCTTCGCTTCGGCGGCTATTTTGCTGGTTTGTTCCTGAAATGGTGTCCATCGTTCTTGGCATTTGCGTTTCAGCCAAAGAAGGGCTTGTCCGGTTCCGACCACCGATTCTAGGCAGGTGATGCCTCCTTCAAGGAGGTTCGGAAGATAAATTGAGCCTTGGATGAATGGTCGGCTTGCCTTTCGTGCCCTTTGGTCCAGTTCTTGAGCGCGGTTTTGGGCGGGGATTTGGCTACCCATCCGTAGCTTGCCTTGTTGCGACCAGGCATCGTTGATCGGCCACTTTGGTGCGGTCAGAGACCGGCAGCAAGCGTTGACGCCCACAGACGGTCTTGGCTGCTGTGAAACGTTGCTTCTCTTTGTCAGTGAGCTGCGTAGCTTTGGTGGTAGAACAACCCCGGATCCATGCGGACGGTTGGATCTGCTCGACCAGGGCAGGATATGCTTGTAGGGTTTCTTTGAGTTGCGCGCGTTTGCGGTGCGTGCTGCCCACAAGTTGTGTTTTGTCGGGCTTTTCTTCCATGCCAGGCCTTCAGTGTGCGGATTAGGAGCTCGGGACTGGTGCAAGTCCATGTCCTGTCATCCATGTAAATGTAAATGCATTGGCTGCGGTCTGTGTGTTGGGGCGGGGCTTGTGTTTCTACATGGTTGTAGCCGGCGCACATATAGACCCTTAGGGCCAGTGGGCTTATAGCATCTCCTTGGGGAACAGCCTTGTCCGTCTCCACGGGGTTGGCATAAGTGTCCTTGCGCCATTGCAGTAGTCTACGTTGGTGTTTCCATTGGAAAACCAATGTTTGGCATAGGCCTGTCTGTAGCCCGAGTTTGCCCACAGTTGCAGTAGCCGCTGTTGGGTCAATCCGATCAAAGGCCAAACTGTAATCCAAAGAAGCCAACCATCCCTGCTGATCCTGGAAATCGGCCATGCGACTGGCGAGTTGCTCGGTTCCCGGGGAGCCGGATCCGCCTGTCACTGCTGTTGGGAATGTGTTTTGCCTCCAATCCATGTTTTGATTACTATCCCTGCGTGCCCAGGTGCTAGACCAACAGCGGTACCAACGGCTGTATATGTTGTTGGGCCGGAGGTGTGCTAAGCTGATAGTGTTATTGTGTTGTGCTTAGCTCTCTTTGGGCAGGCGCGCCTGCCTTGATAAAGTAAAGCGTTGCGGTGTGCGGTGCAAGTGTTCCCACAGCGGTGATGTGCTCGAAACGTTCTAGGGCTGATCCTTTATTATGTTTATTTCACTTGCTGTCCATCCGTCTGGTCCCGCCGCGCATTTTAGTTTATCCCGGCAGGCCAGGAAATCTGTGGACTTTGGACGGCCTGTGTTAGGTGCGAGGTGGGGTGCTGCTTTTGGTGGGTGCTGATCTGTCCGGAATGGATCCAAACATTTGTCTAGTCATGCAGGTTTTGTAGCGCTTGCTGGTCAGTGTGAGTGATGGCACCGTTGTCGGTGACGAAAGGGTTCCATGTTTTGCCGTTGAAGCCATTTCCTACGTTTATGTTCCTCATTGCGCATCTCCATTTGCCAACGTTAATGTTTTTTTTGGTTCTTTTTGTTGTGGTTGTTTGAGAAAGTGTTGTTGTGCTTGATCATGCTTGATCAATGTTTTTGGCAAGCTGCTGACGGTCCAAAGAGAGGAAATGGACTCGTTTCAGAGAGAGAGGGAGAAAGAGAGATATCACCTCTTGTGTTTGTGCTTGTGTGAGCGCTTGTCTGCCCGGCAAGTCATGTAAGCCAATAGCCCTGCTAAGCCAATTTGCAGTTTGCGGTGTTGGCATTGTCCCACAAGTCCTTCGGTTGCATGGTGAGGTTTTCATATGCTTCGGTGTGGCCAGCTTTTGTGCTGCAGCCTGTGCTGTGCGTTGCCAGTGTCGAAAATCCCTGTGAAAAGGAGTCTTCCAGAGGAAATGGGATCATAGTGGCTGCTCTGTGGAAAGCCCCAGGCAGGGCTTGGATGGACAGTTGCCAGGTATGGTCAACTGGATGTATGGCCATGTCTTCATCAGTCTGTCGGAGTGCTATTTGCACGGCTCTCCTAGTTTCAGATCCGTGAAGGTCTGACCAGGCGGTTTTCAAAGTTGATTGCCATTTGGCAGTAGTGCGGTGGGGTGGGGTGGTCCATTTGTGGCTTTGGTAGAGGTTTCCTCTGTGCGTTTCCTGAGACCATTTCATCTGGAGGCTGCGCTGCAGTCCCTTTGTGATTGGAGATTCTCTCTGGTTCCGTACGCGCGCCGCCCGCTGTCCGCACCGCGGCTGCCGCCGGGTGGTGCCGCCGCTGGCGGGGCCGCCTCAGCGTTGCCGCCCAGAGCGCGTTGTGCCCTAGCCTTTTCGGGGACGACTGGCGCGCGCCGCGTGCCCTGCCGGTGCCCCTCGCGGAGGTCTTGGCGCTTTCGAGGCCCTCTGCCCCGAGCCGCCCCCCAAAAA